AACCCATCATATGAATTTCTAAAATTTCAGATATTGCATTTTTTAGTTCTACCGTTTCAATTTGGTTCTTTTTTTGTAGTTCCTCTGCTAATTTTCATATTTTTTTTCATTACAGGCATAGTTTCATTAGTATTATTGAGCATAGTTTTAGTAAATGCTTTAAAATCTTTGATTATTCTAACATAGTGATCATCTTACAATTGGTCTCTGCTGATTATCTCTTCCCTAGAGAATGGATCACATTTCTTGGATCTTCATGTATCAAATGGTTTTGGGTTGTATACCGCTCATTATATAGTGCAGTATACACGATTATGTTGTAGAGACTCTGAATTTGGTTATATTCCTCTGATGAACCTCCATGTTTTTGCTTTAGCAAGTGGTTAGTTTGGTTAAGTTTAAACAGAACCTTCTGCCTTGCCTATGGTGAATAGCAACTCAGATCTCAATTCACACTCCCTTCAATCAGCTCAGCACATGTGTGGTTCTAGGGTTAACCAGCAATTTGGGCAGACTGCTTCTCCCCCAATTTTTGGATTTGCCTTATTTGACTCTTCTCTTTCTGTTTTCTCTCTTATACACACAACTCTGCTTATCATGGCTCCTTCTTTTAGTTCCTCTGGACAAAAAGCAGATTTTCTCTCAGTATTTTAGCCACATTGCACTATTTCTCCCAACTTTTAGTTTTCCTCTAAAATATGTCTGCTTTTGTCAATTCTTTAGAGCACTTATGTTGCTGAACTTTTCATTCTGTTCAGAGTTTTTAGTTTTTACCTATAGGGTGAAGGGAGAGGGACTGTTAGGAGCTTTTTGTATATTGGAGGAAGAACTGTCAATTTTAGATACTTAAAATAGAAAAGAAGTAGTATACAGATTTTTTTCATAAGTTCCCACTCTATGTAAAAATAATACATGGATTGTCATATTTCACAAGGCCCAAAATAACACAAAACATTTAGATATAGAAATTTATATTTTAACTTCTGAACTAGCTAGAAATGCAACGTTCTACTACTGGTTTTGTCATTAATTGTCAACTAAATTTCTCTAGACATCTGGGTACTCAATATGAAAATGAAGGGATTAAATGAGATACCTAAGATCCTCTCAAGGTTCTATATTTCTAAAGAGAATAGGTTTATTTCAGGAGATTTTATGTTTGTGTACTATTATTGTTAATATATTTTAAGAATCATAATCCTTCAATTTAATAGTAAAATTTTAATCAGGAGGTTTCAATTATATAACTTCATATAATAGATGGTTCCTGGAAAGATTATATATAAATTAGTATTACATAAATTTATAGTACATAATAGATGACTATCACTTATAGGAATTGTGGGATTCTTAAATGAAGATCCTTTTTGTCAAACTAATCCCTTCCTAATTTAACTTTTGGGTAGATGTGTATTCACAAACACACACATAAAGACACACACAAAGCTGATTATAGATCTATTCTTTGTGTTAGAAATATTAGAAATAATCACACAATTTATTGCCATTATTTGAGATAGCATAACCTATAAGCTTCATTGTATAGGTATTATATATATATGAAATTGAAGTCCTGGAAATTTAAGCCAATTTAAAAAGAAGTTTGTTTCCCAACTAAAATTATCTAAACCCATTAATATTAGCATATTCATTTCAGTTTTCCACTAAATTTTGTAAAATATGGGCAAAATATAATTCAAATAACTACACAGACACCATTTCATAAGAATGGTTATGCTAGGAGTGCCTGGGTGGCTTAGTCAGTTAAGCACTGGACTCCTGATTTCAGCTCAGGTCATGATCTCAGGGTTGTGAGACTGAGCCTCGAGATGGGCTCCACACTGGGCATGGAGCTTGCTTAAGATTCTCTCTCCCTCGCCTTCTTCCCCTCCCCACTCCATTAAAAAAAAAAAAAGGAAAAGAATGGTAATGCTAACAGGAGGTGCATAAGTATAATTTTAGTAAGTGTGGTAGACAAAACAAGGTATAAAGACTGTTGATGTGTGGTATTTAATATTTTAGGTTTAAAGCTGGATCCTGCAAATAGGTTTGTTTCCAAAACAGTTGAAAATAGTTTGATGAAATTAAATAGTGCACCCCATTATTTAAGTTATTTTTGTTATAATCCATGAAAGTTGTCTTGGGGTTACTCTATCACTCTACATTTACCTCTGTATCCCTCTCTGTGTCCCTGTGGGTCCCTCTCTGTTGACTTTATCCTTTGCCAAGCTCTCCCCATAGTGAGAAAAATGAATCTTAACATTCCTTTTACATGCTTTTCCTCAACTTATACAAGGAGATAGGCCACCCCCCATCTCCCAGTTTCCATCTCAGTCACCAAACAAGAGCTCTAATTATCCTTGCTTGGATACATGCAAACTTTGGGGCACAGAAGTGGCCCCTTAATTGACAATCCTACCAGAAACACCTGACATGCAAGACAGGAAGTTTCCAAAAGGAAGAAATGTGGGGCAGACAAAAAAGTAACATTTTTATTTTCTTGAGTTGGCCCTTCCCCCTCAAAAAACTGTCTTATCATTCATTACTCTAGACTTACTTTCCTTTGTTTTCTGAGATAGGAAGAAATAATACCAGGCACCTATATGATGTCACAAACACAGTTGCCTCTTTTTAAAATGTTGGATGTAGTCTCTAATATTTAAGAGAAGACAGAAGACTGCTGATGAAAAGTGTGGATTACCTTAGGAAAGTATTATTGAAATCTCACATAACTCATAGTTTAGCTTCCAAGTTGGATATAGTCAACATCAAAGAGAACCAAATACTTTAAGTACGTTATGGGATAAAACATAGAAATAGTTCTATGTGCCTGGAAAACGTTCTAAAATTGTTGAAGTAAGCTTTAAAATAACAACAAACAGACGAATCAAATGGTGTCATGTGACAGCCAGAAAATACTTTAACGTGCCCAGAAACTTCCCGATGAAAGTTCACATGTACAAGCTCTCCATTTCTCCCGCCACGTCCACCTTGGTTATACATCTATATCATTTTCATTTCTCTGATGCTGGGCTTTCAATCAGCCTCCTGCTTCTGCACTGTGTCTGGAACTCTATATGTATGAGTCATAATACTACTTTGTGAAACCGGTTGAAAAAGTCGTCTAAAAACTTAACCACAGAAATCTTGGATTTGAAACATATCCATCATTTAGTTAAATGAGGACAAACTAAATATTGTCCTACCTTTTTTTCTTTTTGGTCTTACTTTTCTTCCTTAGAGAACCACGTCAAAGGGAACATGTGAGCAAAACCTTTCAAAGATCTACAGATTAAGATTTACTCAGTATTGAAAATGTTTCTCCAAATTGTTGAACATTATCTAACATTAGAATCTTAGATTGCATACTAATTAGATGATTTAAAATATAAAGTTTGAATTACTGTAGAGAGTAAAGAACTGCCTAATTAACCCACATAATCATGAGCGATAGTAAATGCTATTATTTTAAGTCCATAATTCTTAGGTGTAGGGTCTATGCATCAATAGATAACCGAAACAACTGATAAGTTCTTTTCATCCTTTTTTTCTTGTGTTTTTTTTTTTATTGGAGTTTGATTTGCCAACATATAGTATAACACCCAATGCTCATCCCATCAAAGTTCTTTTTGTCCTTAATGAATTTTATTTCTCTCATTCATGTGCTTTTATTTGTAATGGCTAATATCTGTAAGAAAATTGTTGAATAGTCCTGATTTTAATAAGGATGCTTGTAGAATTTTTTTTCTAGCTATATTTCAGGCTTTTAGAATGAGACACATATTTTGCTAATAGTTTTTATTATTTTTATCCTATCATTTACCTATTTTTTTAAAATCAAAGGTTGCTGCTTTTTAATAAAAAAGTCTTATTATTATCATTAATGGGGATAATTAATAGTATCTATGGCAGATGCTATTTGATATAGCCTAATGTCTACTACCCCTCTAAGTTTAATAGAGACCATAAGCACCTCAACACTAGGGTGCCACTATATCATTTCTAAACTGCTTATGTTCAGTCTATTCCAGAGAAGTAAGCTTTCTATTTCCTACTTCCAATAGAGCAGTAAACTTTCATTTTGTTTAAGCCACTATTATTTGAAATATTTCTTATAGCCAGTAAATGTGTCACCTAATTAATGAAGTGACCCTGTGAACTTTCTCTCTTGTTTTTGTTTTTAATTTTATATTAAATTATTAGGTGTCCTAATCTTAAATCATCTTTGTAGTACTAAAACAATCCGATTCTACTCAGCTATATTCTTATATAATTCTTGGAATGTGCTAATGGATTCTGCTTGCTAATATTTTGTTTAGGATTTTTTTCAGTTTAGTTAGTTGACTGCTAGTTTTCTTTTGTGTATGTGAAATCTATTTTACACATTGATATCGATGACCTGGCCACCTTATAAAAAGCATTTGGAAAATTGCTTTTTTTTTTTTTACTACACTCTAGAATAATTTAAGTAATATATGTTTATGTTTTTCTTTTAGAATTAATTTCTGAAAACCCTCAGTCTGGTACTATGGAGGAATAGCTACTTGACAACCATATTTATTTTATGGTAATTGGCCATTTAGATTTTCTTTCTTCTTAGGTAATTTCAGAAAAATTCACAAAAAGATAACTGAATGTCTCAAGCAAAATAGTAACAAGGTGTTGTAAGGATTACGAAATAGGTGGAATTAAAATATAATTCAACAATTGATATAGCATATGAAGGGGAAGAAATGTTAAGCATCCCATTATAAATTTCTTACAACGTAAGTGGTAAAAGCCACATAGGTAAAATGTGATATTAAGGATCTATATTGCAAAACCCAGAGGAACAACTAAAAGTAAAAAAGGTAAAAGTAAGAAGCCAATAGTGAAGGTAGGTGAACATTACTAACATATCCAATTAATCCAAAAGAAGGCAGGTAGAGAAGAAAAAAAAAAATAACCCAACAAAGAACCGATGACACAAATAGAGCACAGTTAGCAAGATGTTTTCTTACCTGTTCTTATGGAAACCAGGTCGTCTTCTTGTTCACTGCCGTGTGTTTGAAGCCGTTTGTGTGTTCCAGCAGTCCTTAGAGGAACTTGGGACTTTTTAAACATTTAGTTCAATCCTTTGCCACGTAACTCAGCTCTCGGATAGGTTCACGAAAAGTGTTGTTTTTACGTTTCCAGCTGTATCTCATTTTTAGGATGAGAGGAGCTTTCTCTTGTGACTTCCTGTATCCTAAAGAAAAGCAGAACTCTTTTTCAATAGTTTCTGTCCTTTCACTAGTATATCCAAGTTATTTGGTATATACTATAGATTCATAACTAGTATATTCTAATTTTTAATTTTAACCTCTTTGTTTTATAAACTTTTTTTTGTCTCATATAGTGATTTGGAGTTCAAATTCAATCTTGTCTGGTATTAAAAAGTTTTGTGACCACCCCCCCTTCAAAATCAGGACGCTCCCCGCTACCCCCCCAAAAAAGAAATTGTGATCGTCACTTTTTGTTTACTTGTATTGGCTTGGTAAAATTTTGCCCATGCTTCTGTTTTTCTTTCTGAATCACTTTGTTTCAGGTATGTCTTTTGCATAGGTTTGTATAGATTTCACATTCTCTTAATGGTTGCGGTAATTTATTTTTATTTATTATGATGTAAATATATTTGATTCAGCTGTCATATTATTTTATGTTTTGCTTTTTGTTTTTATACTTGTTTGAAAAAAAAAACAAGCCTTTCAACTGTAGCCTTTTCCCCCTCCCATACATATATTTTTCATTTTTTTCTGATAATTAGGTTTATTAAATTTTTGTTCTAATGAATACTTTTTATAAGAACCTGGCATCACATAGGATTAATTTCTTAATCCCCTATTTCTCCATTCTTTAAACATGCCTACATTTTTAGGATAAGCAATGATAGTTGCTATATTTCCTTTTTTCTTTTCCATTCCTTCCCCTCCATCATTTGCTTTTTCTTGATTATATTATCTTCACATTATTAATATCTATGTATGTAATTATATCTGTGTTAGTGATTTGTGAGCATTTAGTGATGTGCTTTGATCTACAGCCATTAAAGATGAGGAAATTGGAAATTCTCACCTTCCTTGCCCTTGCTCTTTCCACCTTTTGTTAGTTGCATTATTTGTACACTGCTAGGGTTTGTGACATTTCTACTCTTGTTACTCTGATCCTCTTTTTTTTTTTCAGTCTTCACTGTTAATAGAATAAATGCTCAATATCAATAGTTTTTTCCATAGTTTTTCTTATTCTAGTAGATTACTTAAGCTGGGCCCATGGGAATATTTTCTTAGCTCATATAGCTTTAGTATTTTCTGAGTTCTTGTGTAATGCTTTATTTTTTAATCATAGTTTGGCTAGGTGTAAAATTCTCAGCGTTACCCACTGCTCCCTCTTTTCTTGAGGAAGTTATATAATTCCTTTGGAATTTCTAGCTTTGGATTTTTCTACAGAAAGGTCTGAGCCCAGCTTGATCCCCCACCCATACCCCATACCTTAAAAGTAATTGGGATTATTGCCTGGTCACCCAGTACTCATTTCTTTTTCACTGAAATCCTATCGGCTTGCTAGGAAATGTTTTATTGTTTTATTTTGAATATATATTTCTTTGACAAGGCTTTATTTCACTACATTAATCCAAATATTTTATTTCCATGAAATACACTATATTGTAAATTATTTGTTCTTTTCCATTTTTTCTCTTTTTGGATGTTATGCAAACCTTGAGTCAGTTTGCCTCTTCCATTTTACCTCTTTTTTTGTATTTTATATTTTTTACTTACTTTTCTTATATCTGCCTTAATTGTATTATTTTCTGCAATCTTTTCTCTATTGCGCTTCTTTGTATTTTGCCTTTATTTTGGGGGATGGTTTTGTTATTTTTTTTCTTTCACTTTATAGTTGCACTACAATTTATTTCCTCCTATATCTTATGATCTCTGAGCTTTAAAATATCTTTTTCATGCTTTCTTCATAGGAAGTATTGCTTGATTGAGATTTTTAAATTTCTGTTGCCACAATAGATCATTTTTTTCTGCCTAATATTCTTTGGAAGATGCTCTTGTTTCCTCTTGTTTGTTTTCTTCTTTTTCTTGCAGTATATTTGTGTGACACTGGTGATACTTCCTTTTTTTTTTTTTTTCATTACTCATTTTTAAAGCAAATACATTTCTCCAGGATCAGTTATTTTCAGGAGTCTGGAATATGGGAAAGTTGATGGCTATCTTCCCGCTTAGCTAGAATCATCTTGAGGACCCAGAATTTTGTATATCTTAAATTTTGTCTCCTTAACTTTGCCAAGTCAATGAGGATAGGCACTAAGGAGGTTTTTCACGATGCCAAATCTCTGCACTCAACTTTGTGCAAATACTTCCCACAAATACAGCCAATTTACATGATTCCTCATTTGTTGCCATCCTTTTGATTCCCAGAAGTAAGCCGGATCCAGAGTACTTCCTGCCTCCAGCACAGGGATACTATTTCCATTGCTGCAAACAAGGCATTGGATTTTGCGTTTCAGAGAGTGCCCCTTATTGTTAAGAAGTGGGTTTTGCTGATTTCTTCTTAAATTTGAAGCTACAATATTCTTCCCCTTTGTTCTTTTTACATGCATCCCTGCATTCTTATGGGGCATTCTACACTTAGTTTTTAGTTTATTGTTTAGTATTTGTTTTGCAGAAAAAAAAGGTTGGGGGTAGCTTATGTTACTTTATCTCTTTCTCTATGCTGCTTTGGGTGATGGCCAGGAAGAAAATGGGGAAATGTTTACTTTATAACATCAACTTCATCTTTGATGCCAGCTCATTTGAGATATTATATTCAACACTATAGAGGTTATTTATCTCCCTTGGTTTATTTCAATTTATTGGATTATTAAAGCATATTTTGGGAAATACAGTTTTCAAACAACTCCATTTGCATTGTTTGGTTTTGCCCGCTTCAGAAACTCTCAGTTATATCTCTGACTTCTAATTATTTGAGTCATACTTGTTTCCTCTCATTTTTCTTACCCAGTCAAATGTTTAGACCTAAAGTACATTATAAATGAAATTAGGTAACGTGATAGCTATGTTTAATGGTAGCAAAGTTGTATTTCAGCTATTTGGGGAAAAACCTCTCTGCAGGGTGCAGATTTAAAGTATGTACTTTTCTATATTTTGCATCACTATTCCTAGAACTCTTTTGCCAAACTCAGATTTTGATTCAACAGTTGAATGAACAATTAAAACTCTTGCTTTCTGGGTCTGTTTGCAAGCTATAGTGCTATTTTGACTCCATTGTATCTTGAATAACGACGTTTGGGTAATTATGTAAACAATTTATTGCAGAGTGTTCTATTTTATAAATTCAGTGGGAAGAAGAATAAAATTGTTAAAATATTATTTTAGGGGAAGCATATAAAGTATTTTTTTTTAAATTAAGCTCTCTATAACTTGTAATCAAAAGAATCTGGCCTAATATGAGAGGAAATTGCAACACAGTTTGACACAAAGCCAGGAGTAAGGTTAGGATACACAGTGCATTTTAAGTCCTGTTCATTTTCACTGATAGGGTAAAATTTGGCTTTTAAGTTTTTAGGATGGGGATTCGATTTCTTTTTTTTACATGATGATAGGGCAAAAGGTTCTGGGTCCATTCTGTGTTGGTCTATTATTAAGCACTATTATCAGCTGTCTATAATTCTGCATTATTTCATCTATTAATCAGGAACAGCAATAATAACCATACTTATATTTTGTCTTCAAATGCTGCAATTTTACCTTTCCTTGTTTTACTTTCAACAGCCATGTACCTTTTTATTTGTTACTCTAATCTATTTATGCTGGGAGAAGGGTTTCAGACGTACCCCAAAGTGCCATGATGTTGAGCAAAGTCTAATTCCGTCTTTGCCTCCTTCAGTGTTCATCAGGGCAAATTTTATACTGTAAGATGCTGACTAGGTCTGGTGTAGGTTCCAGGTAAGTACTTTACAAAAAAAATGTAAAGGATGTGCACCACATTTGAGAATCATCGTCCTAAACTTTAGCCTCTGATTTGAATTACTTAACCTTTTCAAAAGGGCGTCCGCTACCACAGAAGAAGCATCTTATTCTTAGGAGGTAAATGAGCTCACAACTTATTTCTTCAAGTTGGAGGATGGGAATTAGAGTGGCAAAAGAACAAGGCTAATACCATTAAATAAGCAATTGAAAACAGTTGGTTTTTCTAACCAGGCAGTAAAGAATTTCTTCCTTGTAATGTCTCAAGTCACAGAAGCCATGTCTTTGAAAAACTCTTTTGTATCAGAAAGGCCTTTTTGGCTCCATCCTTTTCAGGATTGTGGATTGCGGTTGGGGGTTAGGATGGCAGGGTGGCGGTTTGGAGGGATTATGGGGAACCTTTGGAAGTAGAACTGCTAGAGAATTTAAAACCTCATGGACAGGGTAAAAGAAGGGAAAAGATTTAAGGACTTCAAGTGAAATAAGACACTTCCTTCCCTGACAGATCTCATTGAAAACTATCTTCAGACGATGAATTTTATCTGTTGGAAATAATCTTATAACCTGCAATTCTAACCATTTCAGTTGGTTGTCATGACTCTTGGTCAATTTTTTAAATTATATTTAGTGATTTAATTGGAAAAGCAGTTATGTATATTTCTATTATGGACAGAGTGTGAAATAAAAACTATATATGTGAAAAAGACTGGATTCAGTAATGGAGTTATAGTCACGTGATCTTCTCCCAATATTTTTAATTAAGAGAACTGTACCGAAAATAGCAAATGTTAAAAAAAAAAAAAAAAAACGCGAATGTTTTGTTTGGTGGAATTGCAGGATAATGAACAACAACAAAAAATTACCCCACAATTCAAAATAAGTTCCTCTTAATTTTACAACTGCGGCAGGAAATATCCTAAGCTACTGGCTGCTCATTGGAATCACCTGAAAAGCATCTAAATGAATACCAGTGTCCATCTGGGGATATCACCTAGGCATCTGTATTTTTTTAATAGCTCCTCGGGCCATTTTAATCAGCATGCCGTGTTTAGTACCACTGTCCTCAAA